AAATATAATATTTTTATATATTTATTTTTTAAAAATATTAAATAAGTAAATCAAATCCTCCCAATTCCCCAATTTAAAAAGATGGAAATTAGAGGCGTGGTGAGGGTTTTATCACCCTCCGTCTCCCTCCCCTTCCGTTACCGAAGAAAAACAAAGTGAGGGAGACGTCTACCCCTCCTTCTCCCCCACTCTCCTCCAAATCCACCAATCTAAACAGGGGCTGACAGATCGGCACCACCGGAGTCAACCCAACCCCAATCAAATCGAGTGGAGAACGTTCCTCTCCGACAGCCACATTACCGGACCGGCCAGACAGCCTCGGCATCAAACGGGAAAACCTCCGACGAAGCCCCAAGAGAGGAGACAAAAACCGTCACGGACTAATCTAGTACGTTTTTTTAATATTGTTAAATTTATTTTCCATTTCTTTCAATTTTGATAGCAATTGAGTATTCCTGAATTTTTTTTTTTTCAATAAAAATTCTAATCATGAACTTTCTAAATGAGTTCGATGGCCCTTCCTTTTCTACAAATAGAAAACTCAGAGTTAAAATCATAATTTTTAAATGCAATGCTTTTGTCATGCTATTAAAACTCCAAATGAAAACACTCAAAATCAGATAAAAATTAGTAACTCCACAGATTAGGCACACATTGTTCAAATGGCAATATTAGAACTGATATCTTAAATTAAACCAGCTATCTTCCCTCTCTTGTGGGTACTTCGCACCACCATCTCCTAGAATTCTTCTGGCCTGCACATATATATATAGTTCTTGAAAATCTGCCTCATTTAAGTCGTTAACTACATCTTCCACACCATTCCAAACTAGATGTAGTTCGTTACTGTCTCCTTTAGCAACTTGCTAACTGAATGCTCTGAACTAACTATTTCATTTAGTGTTAGCTTCAATATTTTTGAACTTCAACTAGAATTAATTATCGCTGTAGTTCCACTTGTCTCCTACGAAAATCATGTATCTTAGCAAAATTTTCAGATGCTGGGAATCATCTGGATATTGCAGATATTAATGCATATCTCCACTAACTCAAGTAACATCAGATAATTAGGAGATAGTTACCAAATATACAGATTTGATATTCCTGTGGCGTCCATCTAGGTGGTTTATCATTCTTTGGATTATAACAGCAACATTTTTGACATGGCATAATCATAGTCACTTGTTAAAATAATGTGACATGTGTTATCATCAAACAACTTTGTAATTTATGGTGTAAACATATTAATGGAAACAAAATCTTATTATTTATTTACTACTAACTGGCCTGATCTCTATGCCTTGAATAATGAGACCATCATTCCAGTGACCACCCAACTGCAAAATACTCATTTCCTATTTCTTGTCTTTGCCTCTAGTATCTCTGTCTCCATTCTCTGTCTCTATCCGAAAACACAGTTCATTTACACCCTTCAGTTCCTACAAGTCCAACATTTACCTCTACAAGCTGGTACTCAAATCCATAAGCCGTCTTTGTTACCTTGAACACAAGGTAAGCTTTATAATGTGTCAGATAAGGGGTTTTTTTGCCACTTTCAAAGAGTTTAGGGGGTTGTATGCTACTGATTTAGGTTGAGGGGCTAATTTGTGTCCTTTTTCTCAGATGCCTATATTAGAAGGTTTTAGGTCAAAACATAAAAGACATAACTCATGAGCATTATTTTCTTGTTATCTTTTCATTTACTTATACTCCACCTTTCATTAGTTTTTCCTACAACGCCGTTAAGCTCACATATTTTATTATTAGACCTATCTATCTACCCATATTCAGCCTCACTTTCTTGCTCTATATGTATATTAACAATTTGTTTGTTGTTATTTTTTCTCCCCTTATCCTCCCACTTATTAATTTTTCCAGTGAAACCATCTTTTAATTTATCGTCTCACCTCTGTTGCTCTAAACTATGTCTGCCCTTTCCCTTTTTTTTTTTTCTGATAAGCCTGCCCCTTTCCCTTCTGTATTAATAATTTGTTTGTTATTATTATTTCTTTTTATCCTTGCCTAATAGTATTCTTGCTTAGTTACCCCTTGCATCTTCATCTATTATTATATCTCTTTTTAACCCAATTTTCTCTCTCTATCTATCATTGGATATTTTTTGTTTTCTTAAGATTACAATAATTTTAAATATCAGTGAATCACAAATAATGTACTAATTTGCAATAAATTTATAAACATATCCACAAAGTTATAAGTTTTAACCAATAAAAGATATAAAGCCTACATT